TTGGGAGTCAGAGACAACCCTATGTATTAGTAGGTATATATTAATCAGTTTTCTATTATCAGAACAAATACTTGAGATAACTAAATTATAAAGATATTTTAGCTTATCAGTTTTGGAGGTTGTGATCCATGGTCAATTGGCCTCATTCCATATATTATAGCAGGAGAGTGTGGTATAGCAAAACCACTTACTTCTTGACCAGTAACCAGAGAGAGAAAGGGGTCAGAGGCCCCAGTGACCTAAAGACCTCCCATTAGTTCCTTCTCCCCCTTACTTTCCTCCTTCCTTCCTTCTTTCCTTCCTTCCTTTCTTTCCCTTCCTTGTCCCTGGGTGCTGTCCCTGAGCTACCTTTTTTTTTTTTTTTGCTTAAGATTAGTGCTTTCAGCTTTTTTGGTGCTTAATTGGAGATAAAAGTCTCATGGAGGGGCTGGGAAGGTGGCTCAGTGGTAGAGCACTTGCCTTGCATGCCTGAGGCCCTGGGTTCGATTCCTCAGCACCACATAAACAGAAAGCCGGAAGTGGCGCTGTGGCTCAAGTGGTAGAGCGCTAGCCTTGAGCTGAAGAGCTGAGGGACAGCGCCCAGTCCCAGAGTTCAGGCCCCACGACCGGAGCCCCCCCAAAAAAAAGTCTCATGGAGGGCTGGGAAGGTGGCTCAGTGGTAGAGTGCTTGCCTTGTGTACATGAGGCCCTGAGTTCGATTCCTCAGCACCACTAAGCAAAAAAGCCGGAAGTGGCATTGTGGCTCAAGTGATAGAGTGCTAGCCTTGAGCTGAAGAGCTGAGGGACAGCGCCCAGGTCCAGAGTTTAGGCTCCATGACCGACAAAAAACAAACAAACAAAAAACAAAACAAAACAAAAGTCTCATGGACTGTCCTGGCTGGGCTGGCTTCAAACCACAATCCTCAAATCTCAGCCTCCTGAGTAACTAGGATTCCAGGTATGAGCCATTGGCATCCATCTGATTTAAGACAAAAGATAGAATTTTGTGTTTCTTTACATTTTCACTTGGGTACTTTGGAACTATAAGTGAAGACAGTGAAATAATTTGATTTGGTTTGTTTTACCCTGTGATGATCACCCAATAATAAATAGGGAAACACAAATGATATAACCCAAATGTCAAACATAACCTTTCTGCCTCCTTAATAGCTAAATGTAATGGGCTTGAACCTCAGTTTTCACATTGCATACACTTGTAATTTCAAAGTTTTGTGCATCATTTCTTTCTTTTTTTTTTTTTTTTTGTCGGTCATGGGACCTGAACTCTGGTCCTGGGTGTTGTCCCTCAACTCTTAAGCTCAAGGCTAGCACTCTACAACTTGAGCCATAGCACCACTTCTGGTTTTCTGGTGGTTAATTGGTGATGAGAGTCTCATGGACTTTCCTGCCCAGGCTGGCTTTGAACCATGATCCCCAGATCTCAGCTTTCTGAGTAGCTAGGATTACAGGTATGAGCCACTGCTGCCTGGAATCTCCTCTCTCTTTACTATTTCTCCCATTTTGCCAAGTGAATTTCAATTTTTTTCCTATTTATTTATTTATTTTGGTCAGTCATGGGGCCTGAATTCTGGGCCTGGGAGCTGTCCCTCAGCTCTTCAGCTCAAGGCTAGCTAGCCCTCTACCACTTGAGCCACAATGCCACTTTGGGCTTTTTCTGAGTATGTGGTGCTGAGGAATCAAACCCAAGGCCTCATGCATGCAAGGCAAGCACTCTACCACTGAGCCACCTTCCCAGCCCCTTTTTAAAATATTTTAAACAGAGCAATTTGGTGCTTCCCCCTTCCCACATTCTATATTCATTTCACATTCAATAAGGCTTGAGCACGGCAGAAGGACCTTCTGTGCATTAGGAGCTGTCCTTCTTAGAGGGCGATTTTGGTTGAAAGTAGCATTTTTCTTTTCTTTTTTTTTTTGTCGGTCGCAGGGCTTGAACTCTGGACCTGGGCGCTGTCCCTCAGCTCTTCAGCTCAAGGCGAGCGCTCTACCACTTGAGCTACAGCACCACTTCCGGTTTTCTGGTGGTTTATTGGAGATAGGAGTCTCACGGTCTCTCCTGCCCGGGCTGGCTTTGAACCGTGATCCTCAGATCTCAGCCTCCTGAGTAGCTAGGATTACAGGTGTGAGCCACCAGTGCCCGGCTCTCTCTTTTTTTTTTTTAAATAAGTTTTTATTGCGAAAATACTGTGCAGAGGGGTTACAGTTACATGAGCAAGGTAATGGAAAGTAGCATTTTCTATTATAATAATGACCATGATTTGTATTTATTGAATGCTTACCACGTGCCTGGCATGCTATCAAGTGCTTTCCACTTTTTCATTTGATCTTTATAACAACTCTGGAAGGTAGCTCTTGTTATTGCTCTTCCTACAAATAAGGAAGGGGTTCATGTGGTGGAGAGGAAAAGAAAGGGGTAATTGATCTAACATCATACAGCAAGTAAGTGATGAAATGCCAATTGAAAACCAGGACTGTGTGATCAGATCACAAGCCCTTAGCCCTTCTTCTTTAAAGGGGAAAGCATTCAGAAGACTTAAGGCCACTTAAAAGCAGTACCATTTGTTCTCATCCCTTCAAAACTTTACAATCATGGTTTTATATGTCATCTTATTATTCCTGGGAAGAATGGATAGCCATTAACCAATTCACCTATATTAAAATGAGAAAACCAGGGCTTGTTCAGTATAGCAAGTTTGACTTTGAGATTACAGAAGTGCTAGTAGTGGGGGATTAAGAGTTTCGAGTGTGTCAGCAGCCAGTGGCTCACATCTGTAATCCTAGCTACTTAGGAGGCTGAGATCTGACAGTCAGGGTTCAAAGCTAGCTCTGGCAGGAAAGTCTGCCTCCAATTAACCACCAGGAAACCAAAAGTGGCACTGTGGCTCAAGTGGTAGAGTGCTAACCTTGAGCTGAAGAGCTGAGGGACAGCGACCAGGCCCAGAGTTCAAGCCCCATGACCAACAAAATAAATAAATAAATTAGTTTCAAGTGTGACTATACGAGGGAGGCCAAGGTCATGTGAAGAGGGGACCAAAGACTGAAGAGCCAGGAAACCCCATGGCTACTGAAGGAAGGTACCAGGAAGATGACAGGACAGGGGTTAGTGAAGATGACCATGACCCAGGGGTTGAAATCCTTAATGCAAAAGGAGCAATTAGGGGCTGGGAATGTGACTTAGTGGTAGAGTGCTTGCCTAGCATGCATGAAACCCTGGGTTCCATTTCTCAATACCACATAAACAGAAACAGCTAGAAGTGGTGCTATGGCTCAAGTGGTAGAGTGCTAGCCTTGAGCAAAAGCAGCTCAGGGATAGTGCCCAGGCCCTGCATTCAAGCCCCAGGACTGGCAAATAAAAAAAAGGAGCAATTATTGGTCTACAGTAGTGGGGATATGGGAGAGTATGGCTGGCAAACAAAGGAGAAGGAATTTTTATACACGGGTGGAAGTGGCAATGGCATCACCCCCTGGTGTTGTGTAGGGTGTGGAAAATGAGAAGCCTTCTGGAAGAGGGATACAAGGGAGAAGCAGTGTCCTGGAGGACTATAAGGTTTCAATAAAGGGAAAGAAGTAATCTGAGTATTCAGAAAATACAAAGAATAGAACCTCGATCCTTTGTGCTGGGGAAGGGCAATGGGAATGGGAATGAAAATGCTGATGAGAAACTCTAAGCAGTGTAAAAATTATGAATCTGAAGGAGTGCCTGGGCAAGCAGAGAGACTATCTTGATAGTTTCCTAAGCTAGAGGGAATCTCAGACAAGGTTATAATGGAACTTGGGAAACCATTACTTTGGGTATCTGAGTTAGATTGCTAAGATTTGGGATAGAAGATTGTAGGGAAGGATAAGAACTCTAGACTAAAATTATCAGCTGGCTTTTAAGACCTCAGAAAGACTGCAATAAAATCTACACCAGGATTTGAATGTGGGGTGCTAGTTACCTCTTTTTTTGGGGGGGTCCGGTCATGGGGCCTTAACTCGGGGGCCTGGGCGCTGTCCCTCAGCTCTTCAGCTCAAGGCTAGCGCTCTACCACTTGAGCCACAGCGCCACTTCCGGCTTTTTTCTTTTTTGCTTATGTGGTGCTGAGGAATCGAACCCAAGGCCTCATGCATGCAAGGCAAGCGCTCTACCTCTAAGCCACCTTCCCAACCCCATGTGTTAATTATCTTTTATACCTACCACCCTTGGAAGAGCTGGGATTTTTCCGGCAAGAACATGTTCCCATTCCAATTGGAAACCTTTCCTCAACTGCTGGTAATGGAAATATTGCAAGTGTTTGTTTTGTTTTTGGCAAAGTTGATGACATTTGAAAGGGTTATTCATACCAGTGGCGTATAGATAGGATGGATTATCGAAACAGAAATAAAGAAGCTGTTGCCTCTGTCTGTTGCATTTCTGGAAGTGATGAGACCTGACCCAGGATAAGGACGGTGGAGACAGAAAGGAAAGGACATGTGTGGGTGGTGTTTATTACCAATGGGATGTGGGGCTTGAAAGGATGCCCAGTGTAGAGGATAATGCTTAAGTTTCTGGCATAGTTTCCAACTGTGGTCAGCCATCCAGGTTCTGCTTTCCTCCCTGGGCTGTGTGTGTGTGTGTGTGTGTGTGTGTGTGTGTGTGAATGGAGCCATGTAACCCACAGTGTAGCACTTTGGAAATGGCAAAGCTCTGTACCCATTATCATCTACAATATTGTCAAAGCACTCCCATCACTCACTACGGTACCTGGGGGCAAGGATTAAGGGAAGTTACAACAATCACCCCAATAGGGGGTGAGTGGTGGTTCCCAAAGTACCGTGGATTTATTCCTGGCACCTGCCTGCAGCCGGAGGGGGCGTGGCCCTCAGGGCTCCGCCCATGGGCGGGACCTGGGCGGGGCCTGGTCGCCGCGGGAGCCGAATCCAGCGGGAGCCTTAGCCTTAGCTCGCGGTCGCCTGAGGTGCGGACCCGACCCACCCCCGCTCCGCTGCACCCCTTCTCGCCCGGATCCCCGAAGCCGGCAGCGTTCTCCCGCCGCCAGGTGCGACCCCTCGGCGAGCGAGCCCCGCAGTCCTGCACTCGGAGTCCGAGGTAAGGGGCGCGGCCCCGGCCCCCGCTCGCCCTCCCGCCTGTGAGGGTTGCGAGGCGGCGCCCGGCAGCCGAGGGGACCGGAGCAGGGGTTGGGGGGCGCCCGCTAGGGAGGGACCCCGCGGCGGAGGGAGCGTGGCCTGGGCTGGGGGCGTCTCCCCGGAAGGTGTGTGTGTGGGGGGTCCGCTGAGGGAGCTCCGCAGAGCTTGGGGTGCAGCCCAAGCCCGAGCAAGAAAGCGGTGCCAGGGCTGGGGGTAACAAGAGCGGCGCCGGAGGCAGGGAGGGGTCGCTGGGAAGGGGTGCCAGGCGGCCAGGGGCGGGGAAGGGGGTGCCGGGAGGATTAAGGGGGGCGAAGGCGAGGGGGGGCGTGGAGGCGCGGAGCCTCGGGTGGGGGCTGGGTCGGAAGGGGTCTTTGAGCCGAGAGGAGCGAGGTGCTGAGTGGTGAAGGGCGCTGGGCAGGAGGGGGGCCGTCTGGTCGGGGAAAGGGTCCAGGGAGGGCGGCGGGGACACGAGTGTGGACTGCTGTGGAACGGAAAGCGTGTGGGGCAGAGAGCAGCTGGTGCCTGGGAAGGAGTCTGGGTGCGTTGGAGGGCGAGGGGAGGGGCTTGGAGGGGCCAGTGTGGAAAATAAGGAGGGAGAGCTGGGAAGGGACAGAGGAAGGGCAGTGGCTCTAGTTGTGGACAGGTGACACCTAGGTTCTGGTCAGGAGTGGGGAGAAGGCACTGGACTAGAGCAAGGTCTGGTGGCTTAAAGTGGAGCAACCTTGAACTTGCAGAGTTAGAAGCTGGGTCAGGTTGAGGATGAGGTCAAGTATGGAGTGTGATGTGTGTGAGAGTGTGAGGTGTGTGTATGTGTGTGGGGGGGTGAGGGAAGACAACATGGGGTCAGAGTGAACACTAGACTCTGGCTTCTCCAGAGTCTGAGGGAGGAGGAGCAGGGACCCAATTATACCACCATCTGGATCACCAAAGAAGAGAACAGTGGACTGGAAAATTCATCCTCAGGTGGACTCTGCTTTAGATGCTCAAGATGGAAGGAATTTGGGGGAGGATAGAGTGGCAGTTTCTGAAAGCTAATAAAGGTGTGCTTCTCCATCCCCCTTTTCTAGGATCCAGATGGAAAGGGATGGATGACTGTAAAAAGAATGGATGTGTGTATGCGCACGCAGATAGATGCACACACCTGTTTTGGGCCCATAAACAGAGGAAGACAGTGGAAGTGGTGAAAGGCACCGTTTGTAGTGGTAGGAAGCCCAGAAGAGAAGTGATATGGCAAGGCAGGTAGGTCTGACAGTGGTGGTCCTTGGCAATGAGAATTTAGCTAGTTGTGGAGTCAGTGTGTTTCCAGCAGAGAAAACAATATGAAGAAAGACAACAATCTAAAAGAATCTCCAGTCCAAAAAGTAAATCTCTAGTTTCTTAAGGATTGTGATAAAGGAAACCAGTAACATAGAATGTTTACATTGTTTTCTTTGTGTGTGTGTGTGTGTGTGTGTGTGTGTGTGCCCATCATGGAGCTTGAACTCAGGGCCTACACACTGTTTCTAAGCTTTTTAGCCCAAGGCTCTAGTACTCTACCACTTGAACCACAGTACTCTACTTTTGGCTTTTTTTTTTTTTTTGGTGGTTAATTGGAGATATGTATCTCAAGGATTTCCCGGTTCTGGCTGGCTTTGTACCTCAATCTTCAGATCTCATCTTCCTGAGTAGATAGAATTTATAGGCACCCAGCATGGTTTCCCCTTTAAGCTTGGAGCCCATTAGGATTCCACTTCATCTTTCCAGAGTAGACACAAGGCCTGGCACATAGTAGGTGCGCAGCTGTGTAAAACCCTGCAAAATAGATGTTACTGATGCTTTTATGTATGTGTGCCTCCATGTTGTTATTAGTTGCACTCATGTCTATCTACTTCCAATCTGAAGAAGGAACAAAATGGCTTTTACCAAGTCTTCCTTGTGTTTAGGACCAAATGTTTCCAAAGCAACTAGCAGGATACATTTCATAGATGCTCAGTAGATGGTAGCTATTATGATACTATTTCTGTGGTTCTATGAATCTTGGGAAAACAGTGAGGAGTGCTGGGCTTGGCTGGTAGTAGTGGGTTGGTAGTGTGGAATCATCTAAAGAAAGATGAAATGTAAAATTAGTTAAAGTACGACTTTTAGAGGAAGGGCATATTTCAAAGTAACGTCCACATTTGCCCCCTCCTTATCCCCACTGAAACTTGAAAGAGGACAGTTTCATTTATTGAGTCCCTGCTATATTCCATATACTATGCTAAATGCATTACTTACATGACTTACAATCTTTCTAACAATGATTGTTTTACCAAGGAGGAAACTGTGTCTTAGTCATTTTATATTTGGTCCCGGTCTCATAGCTAATAAACCATAGGGCTGGAAACTGAATCTAGTTTGTTTGATTTGGAACCCTAAATTATTTCCATTACTCAGAATGACTTTCTAATAAAAAACATGAAGCATATAGGCAAAAGAAAAATTGAAGAGGTTTATAAAGCACTCTCTCAACCACTGATTTTAACAGTTTTTCCAGGAAGCCATTTTTTTTTTTGGCGGGGCTTTGGTGGTGGTGGTGGTGGGGGTCGGTCATAGGGCTTGAACTCTGGGCCTGGGTGATGTCCCTGAGCTTTTCAGCTCAAGGCAAGCATTCTACCACTTGAGCCATAACACCACTTCTGATTTTCTGGTGGTTAATTGGAGATAAGAACCTCATGGACTTTCCTATCCAAACTGGCTTTGAGCTGTGATCCTCAGATCTCATCCTCCTGAATAGCTAGGATTACAGGTGTGAGCCAATGGCGCTGGCACAGGAAGCCATTTTATTCACTCATTTCATAGATGAGAAGACTGAAGTCAAGGGTAGGATTTGCCTGTGATTACATACACATTAAGAAACGAGCCAGGATTCAAGTCTCTTGGATTCAAGTCTCTTGCATTCAATCTTGCCCTTAACCTTTGAAGTACATCTATTACCTTCTTCACTACACTTACTATGTTCATCTTTTCTTGCTAGGTTTTAAGGCTCTTTTTCCTAGCTGAAGATTGCTTCTTCCTCAGGTGTTTATTTCTGTCCCCTTTGAGATATAAAGGGTTTTTTATTTTTCACAGCAACCCTGTGAGGGGCCATTTCTTTCCTTTCCTCAGCCTGGAACTAGGGATGACTTCCCAGATGGTTCTTGCGCATTCATCTGTATTTCTCCTCACGGGCACAGTGAGCTACCCAGCTTTATCATTTTATGTGGCTGTCACAAAAGAGAGGGAAGATTTGATCGATGCTTATCTTACAAATGCAGTTCTGCACGCACCACTGTGCAGTGACCAGTCTGCTCAGATCTGCCTCAGGCGACTGCCTGCTGGGATGCTTTTTTCATCTCTTCCAGATGTCTGTTACCCCTCCTCCCCCTGAAGAACCCCTAGGGTGTTTCCATCTTAACCCTTCTCTCTCTGCGCGTCCCTGTTTTCACACCATGTACCAGGAAAGCCATGTTGTGTCCACATAAGCAGCTGTTGACTATATACTAAGGCAAGTACAGTGTGGTAACTAGGTACTCTATTGGGAATTCTTCTTTACTTATCCTAAAACTGGTCAAATCTGGGAGACATTAGATCACAGAAATTCTAGTCCTGAACTGACTTGTGTGCAAATCCTTGCTGTTTGTGAAGCTTCATTTTTTTCTTACTTATAAAATGAAGAGGGGCTGATCACAGCAGGAATGGGAGCCGTCATTCCCCACTCTCACATTCAGGGTAGCATAGCCAATTTTACACATGTACAAGTGTATTTTTTTTTTCAGCACGGTGAAAGAAGCACATACATAATCATTCTTTTAGTTAAAATTCACAGCAGCCTCATGAAGTATGTAGTGGCATCAGATGGGGAAACTTAAACTTCAGTGATTTGTCCTAATTCATTTATTGAATTATTGGGAAAGCCAGGACCAGTAACCTGGCCTTTGGTTATCATGTTACGTGTGTTATTTCAAAATTCTTCTAAGAGTGTAAAATTAGGTATATTATCTAGAGTGTAAAACTAGCTATATTATTTTAGAAATGAAAACTAGTAATATGGCATTTACATCAGTAGTCTAATACATAGAAAATGCCTGATAAGGGGCTGGGAAGGTGGCTCAGTGGTAGAACGCTTGCCTTGCATGCTTGAGGCCCTGGGTTCGATTCCTCAGCACCACATAAGCAAAAAGAAAAAAGCCGGAAGTGGCTCTGTGGCTCAAGTGGTAGAGCGCTAGCCTTGAGCTGAAGAGCTGAGGGACAGAGCCCAGGCCCAGAGTTCAGGCCCCACAACCGGACCCCCCCCAAAAAAAAAGAAAATGCCTGATAAATGCTTATGGAAAATATGCCCTGGGTCCAGTGTTGGCAGGTTTTCTTGGTTCAAACTTCCCTGACTCCAGAAGGGGAAGCAGTTAATCTATTGTCAAATAGATGCAAATAATGGAGTCTCACTGCAAGAGAGGACAGTTGAATAAGATTTAACTACAGTAATGAAGTACATCAGCTCCACATTCCAGTTGTGGAGATTGGGGGTCCAGAGTGATGAAGTGACTTTCATTAATTCAGTACACATTTACTGAGTGTTATTATGCACTTGGATTTGTGCTAGAAGCCAGGCATGCAGAAATGGAGCGCATTAAGTCCCAGCTGCTCAGTGTAAAAGAGGAGCCAGAATAGTAAACAGCTCTGAAATGACACAAGTGCCATTTGAGTGTTCTGGGAATGTACCATTAGGTGTGCATGCACAGGGAAGAAAGATGCACTTGACCTGGACCTAAAAGGATGAATAGGAGTTTATTTGGAAGTGGGAATAGCATGTAGGCAGAGGAAATACATACATAAAGAACAAAAACAAAATAGTACAGCATATTTGGAATAAATAATAATTTGATATAAATCTGAAAAAGTTGATATTTGATATAAATATTTTATATAAAAGTAACACATGTATGCTGGGAGCCAATGGCTTATGCCTGTAATCCTAGCCACTCAGGAGGCTGAGATCTGAGGATCATAGTTCAAAGCCAGCCCCAGCAGAAATGTCCGTGAGACTCTTGTCTCCAATTAACCACCAGAAAATCAGAAGTGATGCTATGGCTCAAGTGATATAGCGCCTTGAGCTGAAGAGCTCAGGGACACTGCCCAGGCTCAGTGTTCAAGCCCCACAACTCCCCCCCACACTCCCCCCCGCAAGAAAAAGAAAAAAAAAGTAGCATATGTTGGTGAGGGAAAGAGCTTAGAGAATTGGTTCTTTGGTGTATTAGCTCTCTGTTAACCTGGATGGTTTGGGCTTGATCTTTAGAGCTATGGACAGCCACAGAAGTTGTTTGGGGTTTTGTTGTTGTTGTTTGTGTATGTGTGTGTGGTACCAGGGCTTGAACTCAGAGCTTGGGTGCTTTCTGTTAGCTTTTTCTCTCAATGCTGATGCCCTACCCCACAAGTCACACTTCTACTTCCAGCTTTTTGATGGTTTGTTGGAGATAAAAACTTCTTAAATTAGTCTTCACTGGCTGGCTTAGAACTGGGATCCTCAGATCTCAGCCTCCTGAGTAGGTAGGATTACAGTTTATAGTCAGGAGCCATCAGTGCCAGGCCTCATGAAAATTTCTAAAACGGGGAATGATAGCTCTTCTTCCTACAGGAGATTTTCCTTGAAAACCATGTTTTCAAGGTGGGTTAGAAGCTTCTTCTAACCAGGGCCTCCCTGTCTCATCATTTGCCTTCTATTTTATTACTTTTGCTTCCCTGTTCTTTTATTCTTGATAGACACTTATGTCTGATTCATATTTGTACTTTCATGATCAACTCAGGGCTTGCACCAGAGCAATGTGTTCCGCAAATATTTGTTGAGGAAATGAGTGGGAAGACCTAGATTCCACCCCAATCCTAAGCAACATTTGTGGCTGGTGCAGTGGTAGGGTGATTCTGAGTGGCATATATTTTCTCTGTGATGTTGATGTGGGGAGTAAGTGTGTAAATGTCAGGTGGCCATGAGAATATTAGTGACTCAAAGTCACCCTGGAGGTATGTTCTGGAATGACCATAGAGATCTCTTTTGCAGATGGCCTCAGTGACCGATAGTAAAACTGGAATCAAAGATGCCTCTGACCAGAATTTTGACTATATGTTCAAACTGCTCATCATTGGTAACAGCAGTGTTGGCAAGACCTCCTTCCTCTTCCGCTATGCTGATGATACCTTCACCCCTGCCTTTGTCAGCACTGTGGGCATCGACTTTAAGGTGAAGACAGTATACCGCCATGAGAAGCGAGTGAAGCTGCAGATTTGGGTGAGTCCTGGGCTGGGCAGCTTGTGTAGGATATTTTCTTTTTTTGTGTATGTAGGATATTTTGAAAGACAACTAGTCTGCTGCTATAAGGGGTAGAAGACAGGGAAAAAGTGGAGCTTCTAGGCTTGACAATATCAACTATTAATGATATTTTTAGGTATGGCCCCTGGGCTGTCCCCATGCTGGTTTTGTGTAAATTTGTTCTCCTCTGGAGGTTCAGTTGCTTCTTCTGCTTGTCTCTTCAAGAGGCTTTATCTTGGCTTGTAGAAATGACTAAACAAGAAACTGGGCTTTGGAGTTACAGAGCTGGGTTCAAATTCTACTTGGTTTTTTTTTTTTTTTTTGGTACCAGTCCTTGGCTTGAACTTAGGGTCTGTACATGTCCTTCAGCTTTTTCTACTCAAGGCTAGCACTCTACAACTTGAGCCACAGCTTTTTTTGCTGGTTGATTGGAGATGAAAATCTCATAGACTTTTGTCTGGGCTGGGTTCAAATTGTGATCCTCAGATTTCAGCCTCTTGAATAGCTAGGATTACAGGCATGAGCCACCAGTGCCTGGCTCAAATTCTACTTCTACCACTTTATTAGCCATTGAAACTTGACTAAATTACTTAATCTCTCTGGACCACTCTTTCTTCTTTGAGGATTATAGTGGCATATATATCATAGAACTTTGGGGCTACTTAGCATAGTTCCTGAAATATAACAAATAAATGCACGGTAAATATTGGATACAGGATAGGTTTTCTATTGTTGTATAACAATTACTTAAAAACTTGGTGGTACCAGGCACCAACCAATGACTCATGCCTGTAATCCTAGCTACTCAGAAGACTGCAATCCAGAGAATCAATTTGAGGCCATCCTTGGCAGAAAAGCCTAAGAGACTGTACCTCCAAAATATCTAGCAAAAAGTTAGGTTGGAGGCATTGCTCAAGTGGTAGAGCATCAGTCATAAGCAGGCAAGCCAAATGAGTAGGAGGCCTATTAGCAAAACAAAACAAAACAAAAATAAACTTTGATATAAAATAAAAACTTTGATATAAAATAAAAATAGTTGAGTCTGGGAATGTGGCGTAGTAGTAGAGTGCTTGCCTAGCATGCATGAAGCCCTGGGTTTGATTCTTCAGTACTACATAAACAGAAAAAGCCAGAAGTGGTGCTGTGGCTGAAGTGGTAGAGTGCTAGCTTTGAGCAAAAGAAGCTCAGGGATAGTGTCCAGGCCCTGAGTTCAAGCTCCAGGACTGACAAAATAATAATAGTAGAAGAGATAATAACTCCTATTGTTATTATCTTATAGTTTCTGTGGGTCTAACATTTAGGAGCGATTTGAGTTCCATTATATGCAGTCAAATGTTGGCTTGGGCTGTAGTAATCTGAAGGATTGACTGGAACCAGAGAATCTACTTCAAAAGTGGCTTACTCACATGTCTGATGCTGGCTGTTGGCAGAGGCCTTACTTCCTTTCCGTTTGATCCTCTTAGTATCTTTACAGAGCTGTTTAAGTGCCTTTATTTCATGACAGCTGGTTTTCCCCAGAGTGAGAGATCTAAGAAACCAAAGAAGAAATTGCAGTGTTGCTTATGTAGCCTTAGAGTATTCTCTTGGGAGGCAACTAAACACAGGTATGAATGCTGGGGAGAAAAGATCATTGGAAACTGTCTCAGCCACACAACCATTAGGTATTATCTAGCAATGGTACTATTCAAATATGCTCAGATTTCAGAAGATAAAGGAACATGTACATGATAGATTTATCACTGAACTGAAAATTTTGAAAAATTTTGGAAATTTGTGCCAGGGGTGTGAATATCTGTGGTCTCAGCACTTGGAAAGCCAAAATAGCAGGATTAAGAAGTCAAGACCAGCCTTTGCTACATGGCAAAACCCATCTCAAAACAAAACAAAACAAAATTTGTGAAAGTTTGAACCATATCTTGCTTATCTGTCGATTATACTTATTAAATAAATAAATATATTATTGGAACAGTTCATATATAGTACTTTTCTTTTTACAAATTATTTCTTGTATTACTATTATCTCATGTTTAACATATGAGAGAGTTAGTCTTTTAATGCATCCTAATTTTACAGAAGAATATAACGTAGCAATTATCTTAGGTAAACGACACAGCTATAAAGTGAAATTTGGACTCATCTTCTGATTCTAAATAATGTGCTATTTTCTCTATGCAAAGCTTATGGATCTTATATTTCCATTTATGATAAGTGGGACATTAATTTATAGAGATTAATATTAATTTAGTTCTCTATTAAAAGCACTGAGGAATCAAAAATAGTTTGAAATTGGAAAAACTATAGAGTGTATGTACTTTTTTGATTCTAAAGGTGTGGTTTCCATACCTGACTACATTAGCAACATTTGAGGATTTGCTAGAGATGCATATTCTTTATATATATATATATATATATATATATATATACATATATGTAGAAATGCATATTCTTCATATATATATTATTGTAAAGATACTATACAGAGGGGTTGCAGTTATATAAGTAAGGTAATGAGTACATTTCCTATCCAGCATTGTTAGCCCTTCCTTTGTTTTTCCACTACCATCCCTTCCCTCCCCACCTCCCCAACTTCTTTCTCCCCCTACCAAGTTGTAAAGTTTCCCTTCCCCTTCTCATATTAGAATAATGTATATACAAGATGCAGGGCACCGAAATCAAATACAGTGAAAACAGGGGTTGTACCATGGGGGAAGAGCACATAAAAGAAACAAAAAAATCACATAGTACATTAAAAACAACAGCGACAAAGATAAAAATCACTTGTGTCCCTATCTTGGGGTTCATTTTGCTTAGTATCATCTTATATGGTCATATGTACATAGCTTTTGACCTTTTCTGCTTGTCTGGTAAGATTATTCTAGACATATACTAGTTATTGCAAATAAGGGAAACCATGGGTCTGGCTTACTTCACTTAATATAATTTTTTTCCACGGTTTTCCATTTCCTAACAAATGGGGTGGTGTCATTCTTTCTGATGGAGTCATAGAATTCCATTATATATATATACCACATTTTCTTGATCCATTCATCTACTGAGGGGCATCTGGTTGGTTCCCTATCCCAGCTATGGTGAATAAGGCTTCAATAAACATATTTGTGCTGGTAGTTTTAGTATGGCCTTGTTTGTAATCGTTTGGGTAAATGCCCAAAAGTGGGATTGCTGGGTCATGGGGGAGCTCTATGTGTAGTCTTTTGAGGAACTTCCATACTGCTTTCCAAAGTGGTTGAACAAGTTTACACTCCCACTAACAAAGCAGTAAGGTTCCCCTTTGGCCACAACCTCTCCACCATCTGTTATTAGATTTCTTGATTATAGTCATTCTAACTGGGGTGAGGTAGAATCTCACTGTTGTCTTGATTTGTTTCTTTTATGGCTAGAAAAGTTGAGAATTTCTTCAGGTGTCTATTTTTATAGAAATGCATATTCTTATGTGAGCCTCTGACTTTCTGAATCTGCTATTATAAAATGCTGGAATTTGGGCCCAACAATCTGTGTTGAAGAAGTCTTCCAAGTGGTTTAAAGGCAGGCTAAATTGCAGAACTATTGATCTGACTTAACTACCTGTGGTAAGATTCGACAAGAGTTTACTAAAGGCTCCTATTATGTATTAGGACTTCCACTTCAGTTATCTGACAGCATCTTCACGGCAGAAGCACACACAGGTGTGAGAGACTATTTTAGGCATGGTGAGCAATATAGTGAAACCAAATCAAGGCTGTGAAAAACAGGGAGAGTGTGTTGAGAAATTTGCTGGAGAAGCCAGAGATGGCTGATTGAGAGTCAAGGTAAGATCTATGAGGATGTATTTATTTCACTGACTTAGTTGATCACTGCTTTGCTTAAAAACATTTCACCGTTTTTATGTGTGCATATATTTTTAGGTAGCAAAATGAACTTTTCCATATATTCACAAATACATTGAAATGTGAGCATTTAAATGTTGTTTCATGTTTATGTATTTTAACATCCCTTGGTATACAAAAGTAAATACATATACAGACTAAGTAAATAACCATATATTGTGCATACGGTACTTTGTATAACAGTCAGAGGCTTCTTGTCATTGTCCAGAGAGTACATGTCTGATGACTCTTTAGAAAGCTCACTTAATTTTATTTTCAATCTCTGGATATAAAATATCATTTTTATTAATACGTATGATGTAGGTTGGCACAGATATCTTCATTTGATCCCTGAATCAGCTGACCACATAGTCTATAGTTGGGAAATATTGAGGATGTCTTGTGTCCTTTTAAGAGAGTAGCAGTGGCTCCCTCATGCCTCTGCTCATTTTCAGCCTATTGTAAGTATTTGATTTATTGATTATACTACTTAACTCATGAGATTTCACATTGGATATGTGGCTTTTAGAGTCCCATAAAGAAACCTCTGATTATAGACTGTGCTAAGTGTAGTGAACCTAAATGAGCAGTAAAAAAAATGGCTGAACTGACATTTCTCCAACTCCTGGCATAAGTTCATTGCCAGCCACATTTTGAGGTAAAATTAGTGAGGAGTTTATTAGATCTGACTTAGTCACATTGCTTTGCTTAAAAACATTTATCAAAGAGTTTGTGTGTGTGTGTGTGTGTGTGTGCGTGTGTGCGTGTGTGTGTGCTTTTATGCAACAAAGTAAAACCTTTTTTGTGCTTTTGATAAATACATTAAAACTTAAATGTTTAAATTTGTTTAGGTCATCTTTGTATTCTTAACATCTGTTATATTCTGTTATGTAACATCTATTACATAACATCTGTTAAGTAGGTTAAATATGTATATGTAAATAGTCATATATTGTGCATGTTGTACCTAAAATTCTCTACTTAAAGGGATATAAATTTAGAGACCTCTATCACCATCATAAGCACTGGGGAATTCATAGAAGGTTTTGTTGTTGTCATTTTTTAGTACTAGGGTTTGAAATCACAGCCTCATACTTGCCAGGCAGGCACCCTACC